TGCCATTATGTTTTATGGAAGGGGGCTGCTGCTTGAAAAGAGAGAGTCAGCTCTCTTTCTCTGAGGCTTCACACGCTCTCGGCAAAGCCTGCTGGGAGCCTGTCGCCATGACGGCCTCGGACTACGGGGCGGAGAGGAAGGAGGAGTGAGCGCAGACGTGTGGGGCAGCCAAATGGCAATTTTCTGCTGGTAAAGAAGACTTAAATCACATGTTTCACTCACACACTGAGGTCAGCTGGAGTATTTTGAGACTCCCTCGCTGCTCTTATGTACAGATCTCCAAAATAGAAGCCTCGTAACCTGCAACTGAAAAAGCAGTTCTGTTTCTGGTTGAACACTGAGTACTGTATGCTATAGTAAGAGCTCACTTCATTTTCATTTCTGTACTTTTTTCAGTCGCTTGGGTCGTTTTCTACCGAGTCGCATCCACAGGTGTGTGAGATGTCATTGATGAAAATGAAAACAGAACACTGCAGACTTCACCAGAAAGGAAGAATGCCAAACCACATCTGTTCGCATCCTGTTGTCCTCATTTCTAATTTTCTCTCTGTCTCTTCTTTTAACTTTGTTTGTTCTGTGTCTGCAAAGAGACACGGAATATCTATGAATTTCAGTTAACTTTGTTTTTTTGTTTTTTTTTTAGGAATAATTTAGGTAGTATTTTTTCAAATATTGTATAAAATAATTATCTGTAAAATTTTGGTATATCTGTTTTAAATATGATCAAACTGTAATTTTATGGTCACACATTATAAAAGGAAAAAATCACTATAAAAATAGTTTTTTTTTATGTTGACAATATTTATAGTTTTGATCATTTTGCTAAACATATAAATTAACATTATTTTCTGTAATTTTACTGGATTTTATCTGTAATTTAACCAAAGATGGAAAATCTGTAAAATCACAGTTTGATAAATTATACATACATACAGAATTGTTCAGGCAAATATCTTCACAAATAATTATATTTTAGTCTATTTTAAATACAGTACATTATTTGGTCACACACTGTAAAAACACTGATTTTTGACGTGGACATTATTTACAGTTTAGACTGTTTTTTTTTTTTTATTATTGCAGTTAACATGTAAATTAATATTTTTTTCCTGTTTTACTAGATATTATCTGATATGAAAATCTGTTAAATAACATTTAATAACAAGACTGTTCAAAGTGTTTACAGTGCTGTTACAGTCTCGTCGTCTACGTTTTGATACACAACATAAAAGCTGCACACACAAACTGATGCATAGCCTTCAGGTTGTTTCCCATCATGCCCTACTTTACATTTATTGATCTCGCTTTTGTCAGATAAACCAGTCGGTCTGTGGAGGCCTCGTTCAACCAATAACAGGAAATGTTCATGTAAGAGACCCCCACAAACACAACTCGCCAGCAGCAGTAGCAGCAGTAGCAGCTTTCCGTGTGGGCGTCTGCTGTTGCAGAACAAACAGTTGCATCACATCGGCAAAGCCGGCGTGCACTTGCAGCGTCATTACCGCTCTGCTCCAGCAATCAGCGGAGCCGCAGAGACAGATTAAATTAGATTAGCAGGGCTGAGCTTTAAAGTCAAATCAGCAGCTAATGGGTTCTAACATATCTGGCAGCAGTGACAGCGCGTCTTTTGTAAATAAAGGGCAGTTAGGAGGCGCGCCATGCAGTTAACCTCGACCCTCCTGCCACACAATGACTCCACTGTGTAATTCTGCTGTCAGTCACAGAGCTGGCAGCCACTGTAAAGTTTATCCACGCTGGTGGACATTTATCTTGTAAATAAAAGTTACCATGTAGAGCTTCAGAAATGCCCTCTACGGTTTGGTTCTGCACTTTTGTTCCCTGCAGTTTTTTTGCGCATAGTTTGGAGGTTTACAAAGATCTTATTCTGTGGTAGAAGTTAATAAAAGCAACGAGAGCATCAGCTGAATGCTAAAATAGTTGAAACAGAATCCCAGCTCTTTTTATTTCAGAGCGGGTGCGTTTGGACATAATAGAATTGTTAACCTTTTTTTTTAACTTCCCAGAGCTGGAAAGCAGTTGTGCCATACTGTATTTAAGTGCAAAAACAAAACAAGTATTTTGCTTCTTTACACAACACATCCACACTTATCCAGCTATGCTTATGTTCAATTTATGCACCAAATATACGCTGAATGTGAATTCTGCTGCTGTATTTTGAGCCACATCAGCCCATTTTTAATCACGAGGCCTTATTTGAAAGTGCAGTGAGTCCAATGCTGGAGCGAGTACACAGCAAAACAGTACTTAATTATCTTTTTAGTCATCAATAGTGGTACATACTTGTTGAATCACTTTGTGGTGCACGCTGCTTTTATCTTCAAACGTCTCGTATTTTCTCGTAAAAACAAGTGAGTGAACGTTAAAGGGTTTAACCAGTGGCTCCGACTGGTTTTGCTTGTAATCGCTTACAAACATGGTCGGAGGCTCTGACTGTGTTACAGATGTGCATTCCCATCCACATGTTTTTATGCACTTTTTTGTGCACAAACTCGATGTGTGGAAACGCACTGTTGCAAATCTCTTCACAAAGTAAATCGGTGTATCAATAAAAAACAAGTGTGACAAAGTGAAATAGAAATGTGACTTAAATGTCATCCTAGCTTTCACAGAAGAAAAGAAAAGTCGTCTTGAATGAAAACATAAAATCACATACATGAACCAAACAGGAGGACCATACTTCTATTGCATTGGGTTCTGTCACCTCTTCGGATCCACGTCTTCTGCAGTGGTTTTATTGCACCCGACTTGAGTATTAATTCAACTCCTAGTTTTTGGATGTCTATAGGGGATTATGTACCAATTCTGTTCAAATTTGCACTAAATTTGGATGCAAATGTAACCATTGCCTCCTCTCCAAACTTCTCAGGTGGGCTGATTTAAATATGTGTTTGAGGGCATGAATAGGTCAAATTATTCATTATTTCACAAAAACAGCTAGGATGAGAGAGAATTCCAAGAACTTATGTAAATGTGTATAACAAAAACATGTTTTCTTCTTCCCTCTCCCATTAGCCATCCCGTTGGCCCTCAGAGTTTGTCCTTGTCACTTTAAAGGGTCACATAATGGGGCTAAACCACTCGTCTGTGTTTATAATAAGGCAGAAAAAGGCTGCTTACACACTCGGTGCATCTCTTCGCTGTCTCACAAGGGCCATTTTCCTGCAGTACAAGTGCTTTAACGTGTAATATTTTAGAGAATATGTCTTTACTTATCTGTAGGTAGGATGCAGGACTTGAACCTGCTTAAAATGGAATATTTTACCACTGATGTAGCGGTACTCTTGCTTTCTGAATACATCTCCCATCACTGTTTATGGTTTGGTTCTCACTACTGAGGGGGCTTTATGATTTAAGGTTGTCTGTATGTCTATACGTCCCTTTCTCAAGAATGCAATATCTCTAAAACACCTTGAGGGGTTTTCTTCAAACCTTGCAGAAGTTTTTAGTTGGATTAGATTTTGGTGGTCAAACGTTAATCTGATGTCACATCCATCTCATTCTCGTAAGTGAGATACATCAGGAACGCCTGGTGGGAATTTCTGGACTCGAGGATGGACTGATAAGAATTTGTTCGTCAGAAGTCACTTTGACCTCACTAAACATGGCCATAACTCAAGAATTAATTCTCTGATTATTGCAAAACTTCATACAAAAATATGAAGCAGTGACATTTTATATCCAACAGGTGGACAGTCAACTTCTCTGTGACGTCTAAACACTTTTCTAACTATTATTCAATGCCATAACTTACAAACAGAAGAAGAAATTGTGACCATATTTCGGTACCCACCTATTAAACGTCTTCTACATATATAAGTCTGGATTGACATGGATGTAAACAGCAACCTAACCCTAACCCCGGTTGGCGGAAGTATACACCTGCTAGGTGTTACTTCTAGTTTCTTCACTGTTCAGAGAATCCGTTTTGTGAGTTTGGAGACTCAGAACTGACAACAGGCTAAAAGTTTATGCGACTAGTCAAAACTATAACTGCAAATTGGATGTTGACTGAGCCAGGGTGGCTGTCGGTGCCTGTCATTATCATTCCAGGGAAAAATCTACAGATAGAAACATGATTAAATGTGTGCCAAGATCAAAAAATAGTAAAGTGAAAATGAAATGAGCTGTTAAAAGACCCACAGAAGAAAGAGAGTAAATATAGTTTTCGTGTGTTTATTTCATTTATTGGTTGGGGGATTTAATTTACATGTCTTTTTATACTCAAATTTAATTATTTAATATCATTTATTGATGTTATTGTGACATATCCGAGCATTTTTACTGCTTACTGGCTTCCACAAACGAGTGCATCTGCTAAATACTAAAACTGAAAGCAGCAACATTCTGATTATTTAAAAACGTATTTTGACAAAGTGGATATATTGCAGTTTTTGCTTTTTGCCTGTAGAGCAAGCAGCCTTTATTTGTGCTTCTGTACATGAAGTCCACTGCCAGATGGCACTGAGGATTTTTTATTTATTTTTTTCCAAGCTGCCTGTGATGCCCTACATTTAATAGCATCGTCTTGTTCACACCTGGAAAAGTGAATGAATGGATTTCCAAAATCCACCTGCTGGAGAGGCAGAAAAAAAAAAAAACCCCTCCAGAGCAGTGAAATGAGGCCATCACACTGGCTTTTCATTAAAGCTGGCAGCTCTCTTGTTTACTAGTTGAAATATTACGGTCACAGCACCGACATGTTTCTGTGTCAGTCAGGTGAGACTTTTTTTGTCCTTCTCTTCACATTGTTTCGGTTTTTTCTCACAGCGATAACAGGTTAAAACAGCTGCACTAATAGACTCTGAGGCTGACAGTCTCTTGATGCCCTCCCAAAGCATTCTGGAAAAAAAAAGTCAAATAAACTTCACAAGACCCATTTTCGCAAAGAAGCGTGAATGACGGCGACTCGCACATGCAGTTGATATCCATGTTTTATTGAATGCGACAATGAATAATTGAGCGTCTCTGTGTCCCCGCAGGGCCTCTGTTTTGGCGGCGCACAAAGCAATGTGGAGGAAATAAAGATCCTGATACGCTGAAAAACCAGAGGTATGACTCTTTCAAACTCCACCAGACTTGCACACACGCTCTCGCACGCATTTGTAACCTCACACAAAACACACTTGTAGATGAACTCGGGCGTGTTTACTCCCACGCGCCATATGAGAGTAACCTCGTGTAGCTACTGACAGCAGATGGCTGGACTGCAAAACGCGCTCATTCTGGAGGATTTTCCTTGTCTTTAAACGGATGTGGGTCATGGGGATGGTGGAGCGAGCACACACACATACGTTAAACCACGCACAGACGCACACAACTAGCTGAGATTGTTTGCCAGAGGCCAACCTGCTGTCCCGAGTACATACACATACCTGTGGTGCATTCGCTTAGACTGCATGCTCTGCTCTGCGCTTTATGAAATGAAACGGTCACCTGTGCACCTCTTCTCGCACGAGTGGTGCACTGCTGCTATTGTTGTTGTTGCAAGTTTGACCCACAGGTGAGCAGATGCAACCAGCTAAAAGCGAAAGTGGTGTATTCCTTTATGACCCAGCCCTCTGGTTTTTTTTTGTTGTTTTTTTTTTTTCCTGCTGCCATCTTTAATCCGCAGTGCAGCAGTAAGGTCAACACATAACATTCCCGCGGGAGTTAATGTGAGGTTACGCTGCAATCCTTTCCTCAGCCATGTGTGTGTGTGTGTTTTTCCTTATCCCATGCAACATATTTCCGGGCTAAAATCGCAGCAGATGAAAGATGTTACAGCCATTTCCTAATCTGAGCGTTAGCGTGCTTGCGAGGTCAGAGAGGAACACGAATGGCAGCGATGTCAGATTAGTTATCGACAGCCGGCAGCAGCGTGTGTCTTTGCCTCCTTGAGTCAGAGCAGAGCATCACGGGCAGGCCGCTGGAGACCGGAGCTATTCACAAGTCCGAGATGCATGTCAAGTCCAAGAAATGTTTGAGCACGGTGCTGCATCAAAAGAGACTTTGGCACCACACATGGATTGTAAGAAAGCAGTCAGAAGTGAGCGACTATCATGTCTGACAAACCTCTCATCTCAGTTCTCAGTTTGTACATCCTCGATTCCTTTCCTCCTACTTGAGACAAAAGCAGAGGAGGTGAGGAGGAGAGATGAGGAGTGCAGGTATTTAACAAAATGAGACAGCCTTGTTTTGTAGCCATCCTTTTAAAGTAACATCAATTCAAATGTGTGTGCAGCACATCTGGATCATCTGTCCATTCACTAGTTTAAAGCCCTACTGTTGTATTTTATGACCTCTGTCAGATGAGCAAATATTTGTATGCGATGTGCTTTACAGATACCACCACACAAATAGTCTGGGGCAGGAAGTGTGGTCATGCATTTGATCATCTTATTTAACTGATAGAGCACCAGATTAACCGTCTGAAACCCCAAACCCTACCGACAAATTTCGAAGGCCTGCTGTAACATTCATCAGAGGTAGAAACGACAGAGTTGTGGGATTTCTGACAGTCCTTGAACTAATCATGTGTGATACAATATCTCATAGAAAAAGAAATGTCCAAACCTAAGCCTAAAGTTGTGATATTTTGTCAGAATCACCTTAGTCTACTTGACTTATTTAACAAACTAATCACAAATAAGCTGTTTATACCAAATTCTGTTAAAAATAAATAAATAAATAAAATTCTGCGCTTTTGAACACAACTTCGAAGCTATTAGTGACAGAAATTAAGGTACTTTTGAGCTGAATTGAACTACAAGATGAGTTTACACACAGCAAATATGGAAACAAATTCAAAATGCTAGTAGTGAAATGTCTGTAGTATGTCGACTCACCATGTTTTTCCAGTACTGGTGACACCTGTGGGCGCTTGGAAAATGTATGTTGACTGCCAGTTTTTTATTTTTTCTTAAATCAGTAATTAAATGAATGTAACTGTAGTTTTTTCTCTTTTATGTTTATGGCATTAGAATTTCGTTAGATTTCGTATTTGTGCCGTTTACATAAAGGTGCAGAACTTCAAATTTTAGTAAAAAGCGAAGCCACTGTGACTAAAAGTCGCCCAGAAATTGCTTGCAGTTTGTGGGGATGAATAACTAATACAACTTCTGATAAGCCTACAAAGAAACAGTTGCATTTGAGTCCTGGTCCCACCATGTTTTGTATATTCGCCCTTGCAACCTCGCTCATAGCTCCTCTGGCTCCTTTATTCTCAAGATGCATTTTAGGATTTGAGATCCACGATATCAAGCTGAGATGGATTTCTGGGTCACACAGGACTGTCGGGAGACGAGGTGACGCGAAGTAGAGAAATGAGAAGAGCCCTCAGTGCCAGAAAGCAGCATAACCGACTTTTTATTCTCACTTTGATCTCCGCTGTAATTTTTGCAAAGACTTTTCTGATTTAACCACAATCTGATCTGAAGTTTTACCGTAGTTGCCTTAGGCTGAACACCTACTTAACAGCACTGAGCTGGAGGGCATTTACCTTATACTTTGCCAGACTGTGATGCCTGCTTTGACAACCTAAAATATATATATTTCTGTATGCTTTTAGCAGAGCAGACAAAAGGAACGCAGAATATAACATTTTGGTCATCTATCTTGAAAATGATTAGTGCTCATGATTTCTACTGTAAAATAAAAGTGCTCAAATGTCAGTCTTCCAAAGCCGACCAGCAAATATAAAGAAAATTAAAAATGTTATTAGACAAGTGCATCATGTTTCTGATTCATTTCAATCGACAGTTGGAGTTGGCTGTGCAGTTTTTTGCATGCAGTCACATTTTTTTAACATTAGAAACTGTCAAGACTCACTTTGTTTTCATGTTTTACACAGTTTAATAGCTCCAGTGGATCCAGAGGTTAGAATGCTGCGGTATTAGATAGCATGAGCTAATTCGACAGTAATTATTCGGTTCACGGCCGAACCGAACGTCTTATACTGCAGCGGTTTTTGGAGGATAAATTTGAGGAAGTCAGCAGATGATTAAAGGGGAAAAAAACGAAAGAAAATACCAGAAAGAGGAAATATTTTTTTGGAAAATTGTCGTTCATCCCTTCAGTTGAGGTCCAAAGACTGGAAATATCTGCTGAATAAAAAAACAACACTAGAAGTGAAGCACAACGTCTGCTCCTGGCAAACAGCTGGCAATCCATCCTCATCATATTTTTAGTTTCCTGGACAATTTCTGTGAAGTCAAGAACCTTCTGTTCTACACAGGAGCTGCTTGTTAGCTCCACTTGTTTTACAACCTGTTTGAAAGTCAAAGAAATGTCGGTGTCTATACAGGTCAGGGGTGTTTAACTCCTTAACTTCACCCTCAGAGGTTCCAACAATGTGAAACAACCTGCTGACAGAGGAGATGCAATGTAAAAAAATAAAAAATAAAAACCCCAGCAGAGCAACCAACAAATAGTTATAAATAGAGAGGAAAGTTTTTGGGGTAGATTTCATCAATGGGTTAGTGGAAACAAGCTGAACAAGGGAATTCTTCCAGGAAACTGAAGTCAGCTGAGCATCCGACATTCACAGCGAATGTATTCATTATGCAGGCTCAGTCATCGCTGCACTAATAGCTCCTTTATTATGTGTGCTCCAGTTTCCTACGGTGGCTTCGGCGACGGAGCTCGGGCTCATCGCAGAGCGCAGTCACAGTTTGCCGTGTGACTCAGCCCTTTTCGGAAGAGCTTTCTCCGTGTGTGTGAAATGGAAGGCGAGCTACGGTACGGCGGCGTGGCGGGCGTCAGAAGAAGCTCCGCAGAGCTGCAACTGTAGCACATCAAGAGCACCCGTACTGTGGGACTGTGGAACTGATGTGTGTGTGTGTGTGTGTGTGTGTGTGTGTGTGTGCTGGGTGGGTGGTATTGTAGGCTGGTGAGAAAGAGAAAATGAGTCACCGATTCCAATCATGTTTTCATGCTTCCACTCTAACCCTCTTCCACGCAGAAAGAAGAGCTAAACAGCACAGTGGTAATTATCCTCACATTATCCCAGACATTGATATTCATTGCTAGAATCATTCGCAGCCACGACACAAACACACACTTGTATTCGCCTTTAGCCTCCAGAGCTCCAGAGCCGACTGCTCGCCCTCTCCTCCTCCCAGCTTGTTACCTCCACGATAATGACTCTGCCAGTGTGGGCTGTGCAGCTATTCAGTGAAATGTCAGCGTTGCCCTCAGACTGTGGCTCCATTGTGGTTCCCAGTTTGCCTGATGGTAAGGAGATGCAGTCCGTGGGTAGAAGTGTTGCCGCTAATGAACCTTGTTAAGCCTCACTCCATTATATTGACACATCTGGTGGCATTTTTCATCCGCTTCCTCTGCCTAATTAAGTGATCTGTTCAGGATTCGGGCTGCAAAGTGAAGCACAGAACACACCGGATGTTCTCTGCTGCGTGCCGGCTCTGCGCTTGTTACCCAGTTTTAAAGTGGCCTCAGCGTGACACATCGGCGGCGGATTCTGCTCAACAGGAACGCACCGCCAGTCTTCCTTCGGCCAACTGATGGCCATTAAGTATCCTACTTATATAAAACGCTCTGTCTTGACCGTCACATCCATTCACATCAGAGCGTCTCGTTGCCGGCGTCACTACGCTGTCGAGGTTTGAGAAAGCGGAGACGTCAGCGAATTAACGGCAGTGCTCTGCCCCGCTGAGAAACATCAGCTCTGAGGAACATCAGTGCTGCTGTGGTGCTCTGGATCTGCAGTCATCGCTGGGATCTGTCTCAGAAATCACATCCATCTGTGACATCTTATGTACTGCAGAATGTGTGCCCGATTGTGTCTGTTAATGCAAGGATTTATTTATTATTCAGGGATTGCTCACATAGGCACAGTGAAGGAGGAAAACTCCAGATGATTTGTTGACGTACCGGCTAACTTTAACTGAGTTGTAAGTCCACCTTGAACGCTTTGGAACAGCTTTAATGCTGCTTGTCATAGAAGTCTGTGAACCTCTTCGAAAAACGATTCTGGTGCTGAAGCAATGTGTTAGTTATTTTCATTACACATTAGATTATTTGGTTTTTGTCATCTTTGTGATCATTTTTTGTTCTTTTTGGGTTTGGTTAGTTGACTTTGGGTTTATACTAATCATGAAACTCAATTTTAAGCAGTTTTTTGAGCTTCCAACGTAGAAATATTGATTGGTTTTCTGAGTTGGTATTCGATCATTTATTTGTTCTCTTTTGGTTCTGGTCTGTTGCTCTGACTAAATGAGCTGTTTGAAGATGTAACTTTGGGCTTTTGAAAGCTTTGATAAACATTTCACTCCATTTGGTGCCACTTTCTTTTACAGCAGACAATGTGATTATCAATAGTCATGTTTCTATAACATATTTTAAGTGCAGTTTGAAGCCTGACATTAGATGATTAATGGAAATAGCAGAAACAATGTTATGAGCCAAGTCTAGGGGAAAACTTCTCATAACATGTTGTGCGATTCCCTACTCTTCCTACTACCAAGGAATGAACACTACAATTCACAATTTAAAGCAGTTTTATTTTAATATGAAGTTGAGCAGAGTCCTGAAAGGAGGACGTAGCATCAACCCTAAAACTTTTCTAGTTGTAAACAACAACAAAAAAAGAAAAAAAAAGCTTCAGTTTCACAGAACTTTTAACAATTGCTTGAGCTGATTTTGGACTTTCTTAGTAAATGTTGAGATCTAACTCAGGTGACTGATCAGCTGTTTTTGCTTTTTTCGTTGTCTTCACCTCTGGACAGGAAGAAACCTGACCAGCTTACATGAAAGGATAATTAACTTGCTTGATTGAAAATGGTTCCTGAAGACTTTTATCAGTTTTTTTCTCATATTTCGCCAAAGATTAGTTTCTTCTTCTTCGAGGTTTTTTCACGTTCTGGTATTGTTGCAGGCTTCTACTACTCTGCTGGTTACAGGCATGTGTACACGTCACCTTCTGACCCCACAAAAACAACTTTATTCACTTCAAAGAGATAATGGAAACAAGTCTAATTCTTGGTTTTTTTTTCTTCTTTCTTCTCTGTAGTTAGTCCCTTCACGTTAATCAATAATAAAGGCGACACAGCTCTAAACCCTTCCATGAACCCTTGTTGCCTGAGTGAAAGCATCTACATCTTGTTATAATGCACCGGTTCTTTTTCCTACATTTCCCAAAATGCACTTCCCTGTGAACGGGCCTGCTGCTTTCAGTTGGTTATCCATGTCAGCAGAGAATCATGTTGTTGCTGTATTTCATTCTGGTCTATTGTCAGTGAACGACTCAACAACAACAGTGTGGTAGGAGATAAAAATATACACCCAAACAGCAAAATAGCTCCAAAAAATGCAGGTTTGCTTTCCAGTAGCTGTCTGCACAGCAAGAATTATATCTATTCTAGGTCTCTGCTCTTCTACTGCTTACATTTATTTTATTTTTTTCAAGCAAAACAAGAGAATCCAGAGGAGCAAAAAGCAATAGATAAGGTGGGACGACATGTTTTTTCCCAGCAGCACCAGAAATAATATAAATAGAGAATAAAAAATATTCAGACATATTTCTTTATCTGTTTTGATAAATGTTTCATTTACTCAAGCATAACAGACGTTTTTGTTCATCAGATAGTCAGAAATAATTGGAAAATGCGTAGATTTCTGTCCCATAAGGCGACAGAGACCCGCTGCTTTTACTGTACCAATCACGCTTGCACCTTACAAAGGCCTATTTAGCTCCAGAAAACCCCTCTGGGACACGTGACAACCTGTTCCAACTGGCTTTAATCTGCACCTCTGCGGACACCTCTTTTGATGTTTCGCCCTCTCTTTCATATGAGTAGAAGTGGAAGGATGTCTGAAACCCATTTTCCCACTTAAAGCCCCGTCCAGCGCCGGCTGTGACAGCGGTCGGCCGGGTGGGCGGAGGGCCACGTGCAGCAGGCCAGAAGCTTGGCTCAGGCTGGGACCGTAATGTTTATGAAGCGTGTCGTCTGTTTAAACTGATTTGTCTTGTTTGTTTGACTGGGGGGAAGTTTCGAGCTTGTGAACTGTCTCTGCTCGGTGCGTCGACAGCTGGCTGCTGTGGGTGCGAGTTGGCTGCAGTGTGTTGTTGTGCTGCTTACAGGATGGGTGGTTGTGTATATGTCTGTGTGTGTGATTGATGCTACTGTGCAGATGGTGCAGTACCATAACCTCATCCTGTGTCACTGTTTCGCCAACTTGCTAAAGAGCCATCTCCTCCACACATCTGCCAGTGCATGCTAATGACAAGTGTCGGACCTGTTAAGCACTTGTTGTCTTCACTGTATTTCCTGTGTGTCTTTGTGAGGTTTAAGGTGTGAGTGTATTCTATGTCACAGTATGATCATTGCTCTCTTGCTAATCTCCACTGCATGTTGCTAACATAGCAGAAAATCACAGAAATAAGACATTAGGTGAGCTGCCTGTGTGTATGCATGCAGATGACGAGGCCACCATATGGCCAGAATAGAACACAGATTTTTTTTATTGGCCGATTTTTTACAAAAAAGTCGGGGTGGGGAGTCAGACGGTCCTGAACAACAGCAGCTGTAACTCCTCTCTGACAAGCTTTAGACTTACTGCCCAGCCCGCTGAGCGCTGTGACAGGTATATTGTCACCGCTCTGGGTGTACCAGGCCTTCCTTCACACTCGGATGGGCTTATTATGGACACATCCTCACAGGGGTCCAACAATGGAGTTTTTCACTCTGCCGCGGCAGGGCTGAAAACCTCACACGGAAACATTTTCTGCTTTGCAAATTAGCCTAATCTGAACCCACCCAGGCAAGAAGACCATCGATCCCACAAAGAAAACTTCTGTTGCAGAAACCTATATAACTCTCATGGGGCACTGAGATCACTTCACAGAGCTGCAGTTATCTGAATTCACCACATTGACCCTCAAAGTATTCCTGCTAGGCTTTGTCATTATGTGTTACGTACCGGTTTCCTCACTCGGGACGCTCTGAATGTTGCTCCGGCTTCCTGTATTCGGGCCTGTCAATAATCGCCCACAGTGTCCATCAGCGCTCCACATGTTGGAGGTTTAGCAGTGACGTGCTTTTAATTATAATGGGGGCGGGGATAAGGGCGGCTGTTTGGGCTGCGGCCATATGTCCCTCGGGTCCCCGGGGACTTAAGCCAGCAGCTTAATGAGCAGCCCCGCAGGAATTAGTGCTACTTTAACCACTGTGTTTTGACTGCTGGGAGAGGCCCGCTGCTCAGCTGATTTACAGCTGCTGAAGGGTGGTGGAGGAGGAGGAGGAGGAGGAGGAGGACCTGCAGAGGACGCTTGAACCTCATCCTGTCTGTTAATAGTCATGTTAAACTGTTCAAACACTGGCCTGACTGGAGTTTGAACACAGCACTGACCGTAACACAGATGACATTAAAAACTCTAATCCTCTAGTCTCCATTAGAAGATTTTCAAAAGTCGACTTTTTTTTCCCCTCCACAAAACCTCTTTTTTTTCATTTAGCAAAAGAAGCCACATTTCTAAATTGCGATGTAACTTTAAAGACTTTGGCTAAATTTAGTGATGTCAAATTTGCAGAATAAAGGACATGTTTATTACAAATCAAATTCAATACCAACAACAGTGATTTAGTACCCGTTCCTATCTATCACACGACAGATAGAACTAAAAACACCCCAAAAAAATCTAATCTAGAAACATCATTATACTGTGCCATTAACATTTAGCGACCTAAATATAAGCAGTGAAAATTCTGCTGCAGTCTTTCAGCCCATTCAGAATCATGTTAAACAGGCAGTGTAGAGTTCAAGGAACACACAGGGGATATGTCCCCTTCAATATTTAGAACACGTGCATTTCTGATCCCAAAACACAGATAGGTTATGTGTGGTGTGTTTTAAGCGTGCAGAAAGTGTTCAACGTGAGCGTTACTAACGTGAAAAGGCGCCACATGCTCAATTAACAAGGTTACTGCCCCAAAGAAAAAAACACAAAAGCGGACAGGGGAGTAAATC